GAAGGGATTTTATGTATGTGATGTGTATATATAGTACCTTGTCAATGATGGGTAGGGCGGTAGTATCATAGTACTTGGCTACTTCTAGAACATAGATGATACGGTGGTCATTTACTAGAGATGCGACTCTTATTTGATCGGAGATTGGGAAAAAAGATGTGTCTACGAAGCCATTTGACATCATCAGTTGACCTTCTAAGAAGTCAACTCCAAGATCATTTGCCATTGATACTAAACGCTCTTGGTCTCTTGTAAAAGCCGAGAAGTCACTGTAGAGTATGCGAAACCATTTTACCTGAATTATGTTGTATCAAATTGTAACTATAAATTGATTAGACATCCACATAAAAAGTTATAATATGTTTCCAAGTAAAAAAAAGAAATTCACAAACTGTATAAAAGTTAAATATCTACGTTAGAATATTGTTAGGTATTTAATTTGTTGTCACCACACCTAAGTACTCTAAATATTTGCACACAACATAACTTTTTCAGTATAGGACAATTCCAATGATTCCATGTATTGACAACTATATTAACCATCTCCACTGTAAAAAAGACACGTGGAAAGTAGAATAAAACAATATTATATTTGACATCAAAAAGATTTGCAAGCATAAGACAAGATTACACTCGAACAAGTCCGAGGACTGATTATGCAGAGGATCTTATAATGCATAAGCAATATCGGATTTTGTTCAACAAAATGTATAAATTTTATTCAAAATAATCCAAAATCAGCCATTTGACTTCTAAATGCGGTCCATCGGTCCAACCAAATCTAAACTTATCTCGATTTAAGACCACCTTCTTAAACAATTGACTATACTTTAAATATTTAATATAAGCATCAGTACATTATACAAGGATACGTACCCTTGTTGGTGCACGATCCAACGCAATTCTGGCTCTCGTTATGATACCAAATTGACCCAAACCTCCTAAAACTCCATAGAACAATTCCGGGTTTAAATTTGGAGAGCAAGTCATCATTTCACCTTTTCCTGAAAATATTATTGAAAAGAAAAGACAAAGTCCACATATTAAATGATCACAAATTAACATCATTATTAGTGAAGGATCTTTCTTTCTGACCGAAAATTGATTTTAAAATCTCGGGTTTATACTGATTATGGCGTGTGAGTTTACCTCAAGAATCAAACTCATAGTTAAAAAATGATATTATTATTGATAAATTGTCAGTCCACCTAATAATCTAACTAGTTACAATTGTAGCTTGCAGACAACAAAGACATTGTAGCTTCTAGAAGTCCAAAGATTACATTCTTTGAGCCATGAAATTTTTATATACTAGTCTATATGACTATATGTATATATAATAACGAAAATAAAATCACATAAAGAATATTGTAAAGAAAATTAGTCAAGTTTGGTATGTTTCGTACCGGTAATAACGTCGAGCTCATGGACGTTACTAATCTGAGGGCCGTGTCTAAACGTCTGACCGCCGATTCCAGCGTTCGACAACGTACCGCCGACACTAAGATACAAATAATCCGTCCAAGTAACCGGGGAGACGCCTCTCTCCACCACCGCCTCGAGAACCTCCACCCACATCGTCCCTGCAGCCACGTCAGCGTAAGTCCCGTCGGCCGAGACAACCACTGCCGCTGGTTTAGCGGCCTTGGCGAGACACGTCATGTTCACGACGATGCCCCCGGGTGCAGAGGCTTGGCCACGGAGGGAGTGACCTTGGCCGCGAGCGGCCACTTTGAAACCCGGTGAGGGGCTGTTTGAGTCCCCGTGGTAAGAAAATCCTCCGCTCGCAAAGCGGAGGAGACGGGCCACCTGTGCGGCTGAGGAAGGGCAGAGGACGGCGCCGGGATTTTCGTCGGTTATGTTGCCGTAGTCGTGAGAAGCGGCGGAGATGGAGGAGGGATCGGTTGAGACGGTGAGGTTGAGTGATACGGGCAAAAAGACATCAATGCCCTCTTCTGATTTGATTAAAATCGGGGTTAAACTTATCCAAAACGTGATTAGAGTGATGATGCTTAAAGCGAGATTAGTAGTCATTATCTAATTAATTAATGGGAAATGTGAAGAAGGAAACGAGAAACGGAGCATGAGTTTTACTATCAGTGTCTTGCTGATTATGGGATTCGTATTGAGATTAGTTAGGAAGTACGAGATATATAAATAGAGCCATGTAGAGAGACTAATGTATAATATAATGGAATAATGGGCACGTGAATATCTTTACGTGATTTTGTTGATGTTGAAAAATAAGATACAGAAGTTTTGTTCCTCCAG